GTCTCTGGGGATGTCTGCTGCTCTGGTCCCAGCTCTAGGCATGAGGGGCTGGATAACAGTTTCTGCCAGGTTCACCATAAGACTCTCTGCCCAGCTACCCACAGGGATATGATAGGAATCACATGATTGCTTCCTCAGCAACAGTGGTGGTTGGTTCTGGTCATGTACAGACTTTGGCCTAGTCGAGGCATTGGCCATTCTGAGATGTCTTGCAGCCCACTTAACCATTGCCAGGCCAGTCAGTCAGTCAGACAGATGGACGAACAGACCACACACACACACACACACACACACACACACACACACACACACACACACGAGTGCATACTGACTCCTCCCACTGCTTGCCCAACAGCCAGCCCCCACTATAATGATATGAATTCAAGAGTTTCCCCAAAAACCTGCCCTCTACCTTGCACTAAGGCAGGGCCCAACCATACCTTCAGCACACAGCCATCAGCTTGATACCACATCTCTTCCCCACTTCCCAAGCTCATTTGCTACCTGATTCCCTTGCCAGTAGCTTACAATCCAAACCCCACAGGGGATGGGGAAACTGAGGCCCCCCAAAAAACAGTATAGGAGGACACTGTCTTCTTTCTGAGGCCCTGACATTGAAGCACAGGGTCAGAAATGAGGAATGAGGAAAGAAGATTGTGCAGACCCAGAATCCAGAATCAGGTTCCTTCCTGACCCACCGCAGCTAAAGTCCATATTGGCTGCAACTCTGCTCCCTGGGCCAAGGCCAGGGGCTGGCTGCCTCCCCCAGCTCTCCTTGCCCCTGCCTTCCCTGCCTTCTCCCTCCCAGCTCTGGCTCTCTCATCCTTTAGCTCTTGGAAGCCTGACTCACTGTTTCCCCTCCTCTCTCCCCTCCCTCCCTTTCCCTCCCGGCAATGGCTCCTCCCCCTCCCCTGGGGAGGGGGGCTCTGGCCACAAGGGTGCCTGCCTGCTCCTCTCCCCAGGCTCCAGCTCCCCTCTGCACCCAGGAGGCCCCCTGCAGCTGTTCCAATTCTCTAACTACTGTGAGGTGAAGAGCAAGAGCCAGGGCCCCAGCCTGGCCTTGCACAGTATTTGTGACCTGACTCCTGGGATCCCTCTTGTCAAACTGTGGGGGAGGGTGTTCCAAAGGGATGACCGCCCCACCTGCTCCCCCCAAGGGGGGGGGCTAATGTCACCTTTTATAACATGGGCTCCTCCTGGTAGCAGGCACCTACCAACCTGTGGGGTGCTCTGCCTACCTCAGGCCCTGCCCCCAGGTCCTAAGAAGCACTTAGCTGTATTCCTAGACACTAGGGAAAGAAGAAAGAAATGCTACTCCTGACCTGGGACCATTAGTCAAGACCCCTTAAATCTCTATTCCTCCTCCTCTTCTCTCATCCTGTGGGATTCTCCTCTCCTCTGTCTCTCTCTCTCCACCTGTCCTCCTCCTCTTCCCAGGATATCTCCAGTAACAATCCCGACACACCAGCCTGGGTAAGAAGCCCTTAGTGCCTCTTGTTTGTGGCTTCAGTGTAAGACTGGCTGAGTCCCCTGGCCCGCTGACCAGGGCCTGTGATTCCCTACCTCTTGCCTGTTTCCTTTTTCCCTCTCATCAATGGCTTCAGTCTCCATCTTCCCCCACTCTGCACCAGCATGTGGCTGTCTGGGTCTCCCTCCCTCCATTCTCTCTCCCTGGGGGGCCCATCTGCTGACACTAGCAACAGTGTTACCCTTGCTCCCCCTTGCTCCTCCAGCTCCATCCCATCCTGGCTTTGCCCCTCCCCCTCCTCTGTCCCAGGAGACTCAGGGAACCCAGAGACAGAGCTTGGCACCATCCCATAATAGTGAGTCTGCCTGACCTCACCCAGCCAGACCAGAAGGGCCTGGGCATCTGCTACCAGGCATGGCATCCCTGGTCTGGTCTTGGGTAGCTGGCTGGCATGAGACACAGAGCTCTGTATCTCCTCTCTCTCTCTCTCTCTCACACACACACACACTCACTCACTCACTCACATGGTGACCTGGGGGTGGCACAGAGGGGGTAGAAAGGGAAGTGTAGGAGGAGCTCATCAGCTTTGCCTCCAGGAAAGCCTTGCCCGATGGGGAACACAGGCAGGAGGGAGTGGTTCAAAGCCAGTGCCTCAGGGCTGATTCAAGAATAAGCCATGTCCCTTTGGGGGCACTACCAGAATAACGCCCCCCCCAAAAAAAACATCTTTTGCTAGGGACAATCAGTCCCCCAAACCTCCAGCACAACCACAACAACTGGGTGGAGACCCCCATCCCTTAGTCACCTTTGAAACTCCAGCCAACCTCTCCACAGCACAGCCCAGTTAACATAGCAGGGGGTTCCAGGAGTCTCCCTGCCAAGATCTAAGCATGGGGGGGGGGAGCAAAGCTCCCCAGTTCCCAAGCCCCTCCACCAACGACTCCATCAAAGGCTAGGGAGCAATGCAAATTAATCCTGGAACCTTCATACACTAAAACTGAGAAGACAAGTGATGCTTCCATAGCACTTGGGGGCGTTGGGGGCTCTCTGCCCCCACGACCTTGTTCCAGACCCCCCAGCCCAGAAACCGCAATAAACAGCAAGCTCTTTTTCTTTATGACACCAAATTTCTCCAAGCCCAACAGCTCCTTCCATCACTACCTCAGCCATAGATCACATTAAAAACTCACAGAGGGCAACTTAAACACATCACATTTGTTTCTCTCTATATTATTTCAAAAGTAACGGCATTAAAAATGGATTTTACTACAGAAAATAAATATCAGCACGTGGGCCAGAGCCCAGGCGGGAGAGAAAGCCCACCAGGAGAATGTCCCTGAGGGCTTCGGCACAACTTAGGCACTGACCAGGAAAGGGGGCTGGATAGCCAAACTACGCTGTGGGGTAGGAGGGGGGATGCCCAGGGAGGGGGCAATTCCTGCTCACCTGGGCACTTGCCCCAATGCCAGGGCAGGAAGGGGACGTGTTGGTAGTTTGGGCTGGGGTCTGCTGCCCCCCCCACCCCCCCAAAAAACCCAACTCTTGCCCTCACTGGTCTTTGCGCTTTCTAAAGGGTAGGAGCTCTGGGGCCAGAAGTTCACCAGCCTCTGGGGGTTACTCCAAGTATTGACACAGCAGGGGAAAAAAATGAATTCAACTTACTATCCAGTTTGATTTTCCATTACTATAAAAATAAATATACATCTGCTCAAAGGAGGGAGATGGCAAGCAGCATGCATATGCCACCTGGGGGGTCCCTCAGCTCACCACTACAGCCCAGCCTGCCGGCCTGCTCTCCCCCCACTCCCCCCACCCCCAGTGGAGAGCAGACTGGTAACCTTTCACTTGCAACCCCAGCTCAGACAGCCACACACACTCGGCCACAAGGAACAGGAACAAGCCAACAATAGAAACACCCCAAATGCCCCTGGCAGGACTCTGCCCAGGCCTGGGCACATGCCCCTGCCCTGCCAGCGGCAACAGCAGCAATGGACAAAATGTGGCCACCCTGACCCGGAGGCAAAGCTTGTCCTCACACCCTGAGCTCAGCCCAGGGAGCTGGGGCCAAGTCCCGCCTGATACCAACTGGTCCAGCGGGAAACGCCTGCCCAGCCAGCCAGGCACAGGCCCCCCCAAGGGTCCCTCCTTGTGCTCAGGGACCAGGCTGGTGCAGCCCAGCCCTGCCTCCCAGGGTGACGCCTGGGCCCAAATTCAGCTGGCCCTGCCAGTCAGGCACTGGTGCAGAACTGAGGGCACCAGGCTCAGCCCCTCCCAGCCTAGCCCCAGGGCCCCCAAGCTTGGAGGGAGGGGAGACTCCCCACCCCTCCACATCTGGCCCTGGCCCCTAGGGTCTGCGGTAGAGAATTCCCGCCCCCGCTTCTCTCTCTCTCTCTCTCTCTCTCTCTCTCTCTCTCTCTCTCTCCCTCCTCCCGCCCTGTGCTCTGTGCCCGCTGCCTGCCTCAGGGACAGCCCCAGCTCCCGCCTCCGGCCAGCAAGGCCCACATCCTTCCTCTCTCGGCCTGGCTCCTTTGCCTGGCAGGAGGCTGGGGGGGGGTCAAGCTGCTGGGGGGCCCTCCCCACAGCTCCCACCGGTCTGCATCCCCAGCCCCCCAACTCTGGGTTGCTGTAGAACAGGAAACAAGGTTATTTCCTAGACTCCGAGCCAGCCCCCTGCCCCTCTGGCTCTGCCCGCGGACCCAGATCCAGCAGAAAGCAGAGATTCAGCAGTTTACCCCTAGCTCCCGACCGAGGGGTCTGACAGCTGTCACTCAGCACCCCACCCCCCCGGGGAAGAGGGGGCCGATTCAATCAAAGCCCTAGAGGAAACGCATTGATAGGCCGTTATTTATTTATTTATGCAAAAGTGAGCCGACTTTGTTCGCCAGGTAACCGGGCACGCGGCCCAACCCCTCCGGCCCGGGCCGCCCCCAAATCCCTCCTCCACCCCACACCCCCTCCGGGTCATTAGGTCTCCGCCCCTCAACTCCCGGGGCGCCAGCGGAACCTTGGGATTTGGGGGCTGGAGGGGAGGGGCTCTTCCCTCCGCAGTCTCCCCGTTTCCCAGCGCCGATCCTAAAATCCAGCCTTGTTCTCCGCTCCCACGGTCCCCCTTCATGCCCCCCCACCCCACATTCTCAGCAAGCTGGAGAGCAAATTGCAGTTTTAAATCCAAAGGCGGAGGGAGGGGGAAGGAGGAGGGGGTGCGCGGCAGCGCTGGGCGCGCACCTCGCCCCCGAGCCGGGGAGCCGCGGGGCGGCCAGGAAACCCGAGAACCCCCCCCTTCCAGCCCCCCCTCCCCGTCCACCTCCCCCTCCCCCTTCCCGGCGCTGCCTGCCAGGCTTCGAGCCGAGCCCAGCCGAGCCGCGGGCCCCGGTGGAAACAAAGACCGATCGCAGTGCTGGCACCGCAGCCACAGGGTCCGGCGGACCGGACCGGGGGGTGCGGGCCCCCCCCACCCCGTACGCTGCACAAAAGAGCCCGGACGGCCGGTCCCCAGCGGGGGTCTAGGGCCAGGGAGCAGGGCGCCACTCACCGGAGTGCTGGGCTGCCGGCTCCGTGGGTCCGAGCCAGGCGAGGGGCTTCGGGGGGCGTCTGTCTTCCGGCGGTGGCAGCGACGCGGGCGCCCGGCTGCTGGGGAGAGGAGTCGCGGAGGAGCCCTGAGCAGCCTGCCGTCGCTGACAGCATGGCTCGCGCCTCGGCTCACGTTCTCCGCCGCTAACTCCGCCGGACACGGCCCCCGGGTTCCCGCGGCGGCCCCCCACCCCGGCCGCCCCCCGCCGCGCACTCTCACAACCCCGGACACCCCCGCCCCCGGCCCTCCCCAATCGCAAACCTGGGAGGGAACGCGCCCCGCGCCGTCCTCCGGCTCCTCCTCCGCCGCCCCCTCCCGCCCGCTCCCCGCTCCGTCCGTCCGTCCGTCCGTCTGTCTGTCTGCCTGTCTGCAGGTCTCTAGCTCTCGCTCGCGCTGCCTTTCTCTGCTCTCCGGGCTGGGTGGGAAAAGGAAATGAGGACAGAAAGCAGACGCTGGCTCGGGGTGGTGGAAGCTGGATTCCCTCTCTCCCTCCGCCCTCCTCTCCGCCCTCCTCCTGCCTTCTGCTCTCCGCTGCGAGCGGGGCTGAGCGCAGCCTGGCGGGTGGCTCGCTCTGCCCGCTCGCTCCGCCCGCCCGCCCGCCCGCCTGTCTGTCTGTCTGGTCTGCCTCGCTCGCTCCC